TTTCAGATGCTACACTAATCTTTTGACATGTGGCATCCTCACTTTCTCAAACAAACAAACTAGGGCCCGTTTAGTTCGTTGATTCGAGTTGAGATGTGATTTTATGTGAGAGCTTTTTACTGTAGCAAAAAAGTTAGATGTGATTGTTTGTGAGAGCTTTTTACTGTAGCAGAACTCAAATTCTAAATTCGAATCAGCGAAATGAACGGGGCCTATAACAACTCATTTCTTTTAATCTTATTTACAAGAGTGCCATTCTCTTTTTTGTTTTTGTTACAAAACTGGCTTTATGTATTCCATCGTTTTTTTTCTTCTTTTTTGCTAATGTAACATAGAAATCTGAGGTATATTCTAAACCTATATCAACTACCCATGAATCATGATCGTTTTCAATTCCTTAACTAATTATTGAGCAAATACGACACATATACCAAATAAATATTTTTTTCTAGCTAATTGTATACGTATAAAGTATATTTGGAGTCTTTCTATTCTCCCTTTCCTGTGACGCCACATTGGCAGGATCTGATTAAAAGGATGATTTTTAAGATTTTAAATATTAGAAATATGAAATATTCTATTGAGCACTCATGAGCTCAATTTGCTTGGTGTGGAGTAAAAGATTTTGACAAAACAAAATGGAATATATTAAGCCTTGTGTTTGGTTCGCTGATTCAAATTTTTAATTCGAGTTTATATGTAACTTTATGTGAGAGCTTTTTATTGTAGTAAAAAAATTAGATGTGACTGTTTGTGAGAGCTTTTTATTGTAACAAAACTCGAATTCTAAACTTAAATCAACGAAATGAACGGGGGTTAATTTACGCAATATATAGGCATCAATTTTAGTTCCTTTCTTTTTATTATAATATCCTTTCAACTAATCCAAATTTGGTCAAGAGCCGCCCATATTTTATAATATGCCCATATTTTATAATATTTAATAAACAAGATAACTCAAGAATATATAATATAATATACCCACGTTGATTAATTATCAACTAATAAAGTGCTTGATAACGTATAATCATTGGTGAACAGAAATAATGTCCGTTTGAATTTTCTTTTATCTACGTTTTCATATGGTTTTAGTCTTTCTTTTTTATTTTATCTGTAAACTCGTGACAGATGCTTGCCGGTATTTAAAAGAGTTAAAAAAAAAAAAAAAAAACAGAGGAAAAAAAAAAGGAAAGAAAGCACACGCATCAATGGCAAATCTTAAAGTTAATACATATATATATATATATATATATTTTTTTTTTTTTCCTTTTA